ACATATTTGGGTGGGGTGAGGTGGGGTGGGGTAAGCCACCCAAAAGCCTAATGCCCTTGCTCATCTACTTCTGTGTTTGTTTTCACCTCTTAATCACTGTCCACGTGCATGACAATTAGGATACATATTATTTTTATATTTTTATTTTTATTTTTTGAGACAGCATCTCACTCTTTCACCAAGGCTGGAATACAGTGGCACAGTCTTGGTTCACTGTAACCTCCACCTCCCAGGTTCAAGCAATTCTCATGCCTCGGCCTCCCGAGTAGCTAGTACTACAGGCGTGCACCCCCATGCCCAGCTAATTTTATTTGTATTTTTAGTAGAGACAGGGTTTTTCCATGTTGCCCAGATTGGTCTTGAACTCCTGAGCTCAGGCAGTCTGCCTGCCTTGGCCTCCCAAAGTCCTAGGATTACAGGTGTGAACCACCGCACCCAGCTAGGATACATATCAATGCTAGTCTGTTGTGCTCACTGAAGCTAGTATCATAAATGTGTTTCCCTGTTTCTTCACAGTCTGCATGTCAGAGTCTACCTTAACAGCAAAGCTGGATAAATTGGGGCAGACACTTCACTTTCAAAGTAGCACTTTTCCATATTTCCTGTAGAATCACAGGGCACTTGGCAGGCCGCTGCTTGGGCTAGAATTGTATCATAGCAAGGCAATTGATAATTGGAATGGGCACCAGCTGACATCTATGAGAAGCCTTGTTCTCTAAAGAATTTCCTTTGAGGGTGATGCTAGGGCTCCACTAGTGCCTGAACAGCTGGAAATGAAAAAAAAAAAAAAGGAAAGCAGTATTAGTTCACTGTTGTTAGTATTGAAAAGAAAATTTCAGTGTGCCTGGCAAGCCAGACGAAGCTACAGATGTCAATTCTTTCTGTATACATATCCAGAATGGTGAAGTTTTTCTGAACTGATGGTAAGAATAGGATACTCTAATCTTGAGTATGGAACAACAGACAGGTGCTCCCTTTTGAGAAATAAACCACAGGAGTGCCATCAAAAGAAAGCTGTACCTTCAAAAACATGATGACTCAAAGGTGAGCCTGTTTAAACACTTCTCTGTGCTGACTGTTTGCAGAGACATTTTGCTTTCTAAAGGGAGGCACTAAAATATGGAGTAGGCTTGTAAATTTCCCAGGAATTCCTGTTAAGGAGAATAAAGAAATTGGAAGACTTAGAGTGGATACTAACATCGTGATACATAGTAACTTCCTTAAATTGCTAAGCAGATAAGGTGAGATTATTTCATGTAATGAGATTTTTTTTCTTTTTTCAGATGAAAATGAGAACCTCAGGGAAGACAAGTATGTGTGTGAACTTTGTGAGCTTGGAAATATTTCGAGAAAATGATACATTTCATCTTCTTTATTACTGTGATTAAAACTTCGATTCGATAATGTCTTTCAGATACCAGTTTGTTTTCATAAAATTAATTAGACTGTGAATAAGTAACTCAAGAGCATGTTTATATCCTTAACCTTTTATGATTAAAACAAGGTCAAAACTGTTTTAAAATGCAGAAAACAAATAGCATTTCTTTCTTAAAACTCTCTCCTATTCTTGATTGAGACTTTTCTCAAATCTATGATTAAAGTTTTAAAAGAATTTCCGCAAAAGTTTCTGAATGTGATAACCATTTTCCTTCTTAAAACTTTTACTCTATTAACCTTAGTTTCTTTCTAATGAGAACTGAATCAGTGTAGCTTGAACATTTTATCTAAAGTACCTGTGCAATTGCTATTAGCTGCCCTGTTGAAACTTGAAATTAACACTTCTAGTGTGCTTTTTTGATGAAGGAATCATTTATACATGTTGGTATAGCAGCAGCTATGTCAGTCTAATTTAAAATTGTAGTGGCTTTCATTGAACTTAGGGAATGATTGAAAGGAAGCTGATGGAATTTTTAAAATTAAGTCAGTCAGTGAGGATGCTTACTCTGCGCAAGACTGTTGGATTCTAAATAGGACTTGGGCTCGTTTTCCCACTAAGGCAATTAACACCTGCAGTTAAGAGTTCAACGGGTGAATAAGGACTCAGCGTAGAACCATCCGATGTCCACAGCTGCCTGCTTGGACTTGTATATGCGGAATGGCAAGGCTTTGGATCGAAGTTTTTCCTCGGTTTTTAATCTGTTCATTGGAGGATTTATGAGTATGTGTAACTTTTCTCGGTTCTTCTCAGAGCTGGGGGCTGCTGAGTCAGTGTTAGAGCTCAGAATCAAGAGACATCGAGATTATCCCCATGTAAGCAGGATGTGCTGTGTTGATTTAGACCCCAAAACAAGGGAAATCTGACTTGATGGAAATACAGGATGACTTCTTTTGAGGAACGAATAAGATAATTTTCTCACAGGATTTCATTAAAGCTTTGGATATGTTGGTGATTAGTGAATAATCCCTGTTGAACCAGAAGAGAAGAGACGTTTTTTGTTACTTAATTCTGCCCTGCCTGCAAATACATTGGGGGTCAAGGCTTCACCCTATGCATTTTAGGGAAACACTCCAGTCCATAACTCCTGGTCTTAGGAGCTCAGGGTCGAGGAGAGGGTCATGAAGACGCAGGCCAGCTGGCCACTGGGTGGGACAGAGCCGTGAGTGCAATAGCGCCCTCAGCTCGCCACTGTGCCACCTGCTTCCATTTGCAGAGACGCTCATTCTTGTCAGGGGAGCAGCTCTGGCCCTAACAGGTCTTGAGAAACGTCAGGGGGATTTTTAGCCTGGAGAGTTGGTGTATCCTGTGGCTCATGAGAGAAATGAGACTGCTCTATAGTCCCAGCTACTCAGGAGGCTGAGGTGGGAGGATCGTTTGAGCCTGGGACATAGAGGTTACAGAGAGTTGAGATTGTGTCACTGCACCCCAGCCTGAACAACAGAGCAAGGCTCTGTCTCAAAAAAAAAAAAAAATTAAAATAACAGCTCCCTGAGAGCCAGGCACTGTGCTACATGTGTAAAGACAAGATCATGTTTCATCCGAGACTGTCTTTTTTATTTTTCCTGGTGGAAAGGCTTATGAGAAGGACCCTCATGGCTGAATAAGGAGACAAAGCCAGGATCTTCTATGGGCATCCTTTTTTTTCAAATCTTCTTAAAGTGACTAGTTAGCTGGGGAAAAGAACTTGTATTTAGTGGGAGCTATAGAGTCCTATAAAATAGGCATTGAGTTCTCTAAAGGTATTTCGCTAAAGAAATACAAGGAAGGGGCCAGACGCAGTGGCTCACTCCTGTAATATCAGCACTTTGGAAGGACAAGGCGGGCAGATCATGAGTTCAGGAGATCCAGACCAGCCTGGCCAACATGGTGAAACCCCATCTCTACTAAAAAGACAGAAATTACCTGGGTGTGGCGGCACATACCTGTAGTCCTAGGTACTTGGGAGGCTGAGGCAGGAGAATAGCTTGCACCCAGGAGACAGGGTTGCAGTGAGCCGAGATCATGCCACTGCACTCCAGCCCAGTGACAGAGGGAGACTCCATCAAAAAAAAGAGAGAGAGAAAGAGAGAAAAAGAAATACAAGGAAGGAAACTTATGTGTCATCTGGTCCAGACAATTGTGTTAGAGCTAGTTCGTACTAGTCTGTGAGAGCCAATTGCTACATTTTCAGGAATGCAGGGTGCCAATTGTAACGCGTAGCCATTGTTCAATTAAATGATATACACATGCTTAAACACATGGTGTGAAAAGACAAAGATAATAAAAACATATCCTAATGATTTTTGTGGCACTTAACTGTTTTCTGTGAGCTGAGGTTACTTTTGTCTACTGTGTCTGTGTGTTGCCATGACAGTGACTTGAAGTCACACACAGTGAAGGTATGTGGAGTGCAGCTAGACCAATTTATGGTTAGAACGGGCACCAGTTGACATCCGTGAGAAGCCTTGTTCTTCGAAGGATTTCCTGTGAGGGTGTGGCCAGGCTCCAGCAAATGCTACAAATCAGGCTTTTTCCTTCTAGAAAAGCCCGGCCCATTCATTGTTGTATATGAGACAGGGGCACGCAGACGAATGGTGACTTGTCCAGCGTCCTGCAGCCCCTTGTAACCAGCAGCACCAAGACTAGACTTGTGTCTCCCAGTCCTTCTGTTAGACCACTCAGAGATTTTAGTCCCAAAAGGCATAAGTGGGAAAGGTTGGGTTTGCCTGCGGGCTCGTCTCCAGTGCTTTTCTGTTGTTGGTGACAGCGCTGTAGGGAATCAGGTCATACACAAGAAGCGGGCTGATTAACACAGAAATCAAATTCATTGCCAGGTGGGTGGTCATCTGCTTTCTGGTTACCAGCAAGTGGGATAAATGAAGAGGAGGCAGAGATTGGATCCTGAGCTCTGACCCTAGTGCATGTGGATACAATTATTGAATGGAAGATAAGAATGGACAACACTTACCACCCCTGAGGATATGTTATATATGTGTTTGCTAATTTATTTTATATCTCCTTCATTCAAATATAAACTCCATGAGGATGGGGACTTTGTCTTATGTGCCATGGTACACCCAGCTCCCAGAAAAGTGCCTGGCATATAGAAAGTGCTCAGGTTGGGCACAGGTGGCTCACGCCTGTAATCCCAGCACTTTGGGAGGCAGAGGCAGATGGATCATGAGGTCAGGAGATCAAGACCACCCTGGCCAACATGATTAAAACACGTCTCTACTAAAAATTCAATAATTAGCCAGGTGTGGCACCACACACCTGTAGAGGTACATGGGAGGCAGAGGCAGGAGAATCGCTTGAACCCAGGAGGCAGAAGCTGCAGTGTTCCGAGACTGCACCACTGCACTCCAGCCTGGGTGACAGCAAGACTCTGTCTCAAAAGGAAAGAAAGTGCTCAGTAGATTTTTTCGAATGAATGAACTGATCCTTCCAATTCCTGGCATTATGCAGTGCCGACTCCCAGAGGAACTTTTGCCCAGAGGAATATACTGGCAGAGCCCAGCATCAGCGACTCTCTAACCCTTAAGCTGCTAGACTCTCAGTGACTACTATTTCTCTTCCCTCTTAGATGACGGAGGGCCGCCGATGCCAAGTACATCTTCTTGATGACAGGAAGCTAGAACTCCTAGTACAGGTAAATCACTTTTGATCAACTTTCTAAGTTTCTTTGGAGACTGATGTGGTTTCAGACTTTGATTTGGCTGGGAATGAAGGGGGAGATGGTAAACTGTTTTTAAATCTTTGTCTGTTAAAATCTGTGAAAGAATGACTAGGACACAACAGCGTGTTTTGTGTGTGTGCTATTTTGGTTGTGTCTGTAGATCAGCCTAAGGAAGGCATTCAAGGCCAGATGTATATCTACCCTATTGTCACAAATTTCTAGAAAAGGAAATTGTACAATGCCATTAGCTATTCTTTCTGCCTGGAAGGAGTTAACTACAATGTAACCTAAATAACTCTTGCTGTAACTAAAATTGATTTAGTCTTCCTTGCTAAGAAGGGAGAGAAAAAGCTTTGTTCTTTACCAGTTGAGAATAAAGAGGAACAGTCTCTGTGCTCTGTCCTCTTTCCAAGGGCTAAGCGAACGCCATCTTACCCATCCCATGGGTCGACATTGGCATCGCTTGTGAGCATCTGGAGAAACTGAGATGCATGAAATCAATCAATCAATCCCAACTGAGAACACATCAGTGTCAGCAAAGCTGGAGAAGTAATTGGAATCGTAGACCCTCCTCTTTTTCAACGTGCTTTTAAACAGACCGTTGTTTGACCCAAAGCTCTCAAGAATGGTGTCTCCAATTCTGACTTCAAGAGTTCAGCATTCCAGATCTGTTGTTCAATGCCAGCTTTTATTACATGTGCTTGCTATTTATTGTTAGATGTCTATCTCCAGGTTCTGGGACGTTGTGTCTCATTCTCTATCACATTTTGCTGTGAAGAAGCCACAGTTCATCAGTGGGTTGAGAGGATGCACACCTGCTCAGTCTTGGGGGAAATGATGCGTCTTCAAAGGGGAAATTCACATGCAGACACTTTTGTCTCATGTTGCCTTGTACATGCTGCTTGGAATTGAAAATGACCAAACTGCTAACTTTGGGTTAATACTTTTAATGGGATTCAAATTATAAAGGCTTTATAAATGCAATGCAGGAAACAAAATAGGTAAAGGCTCATAATCACATGACACTAATTCAAGGGCGGTTCTCTTTTGGGTGGATATCTTTTTCTTTTTTTTTTTTTTTTTTTTTTTTTTGAGATGGAGTTTCACTCTTGTTACCCAGGCTGGAGTGCAGTGGCACGATCTTGGCTCACCGCAACCTCCGCCTCCTGGGTTCAGGCAATTCTCTCGCCTCAACCTCCTGAGTAGCTGGGACTACAGGCTGCGCCACCATGCCCAGCTAATTTTTTGTATTTTTAGTAGAGATGGGGTTTCACCATGTTGACCAGGATGGTCTCAATCTCTTGACCTCGTGATCCACCTGCCTTGGCCTCCCAAAGTGCTGGGATTACAGGCTTGAGCCACCGTGCCCGGCCTGGGTGGATTTCTTTCTAGCATTTTTCATATTTATATTTCTTGCATGGCTGTAATCAAATATATGTGTAATTCCACATATCTTATTTTTCTACTTAATATTGTCTTTCACTAACGTTTTCTAAGTTACGATAATTTATCATTTTTGTGAACAGCTGTGTAAATTCTAGAAATTAATATATCATTATTATCTAATCATTCCCCCATTTGAGTATATTTAAGGGGTTTTTTAAAGACAGTTTTCCTAGCTGGATGCGGTGGCTCACACTTGTAATCCCAGCATTTTGGGAGGCCAAGGTGGGAAGATCACAAGGTCAGGAGTTCGAGACCAGCCTGGCCAAGATGGTAAAACTCCATCTTTACTAAAAAAAAAAAAGACAAAAAATAGCTGGGCATGGTGGTGTGTGCTTGCAAATCTCAACTACTTGGGAGGCTGACACAGGAGAATTGCTTGAACCCTTGAGGCAGAGGTTGCGGTGAGCCAAGATCGCACCATTGCACTCCAGCCTGGGTGACAGAAAAACTCCGCCCTGGAAAAAAACAAAACAAAAAACAGTTTTCCACTATTACAGGTAAATACCATGAGTAACATATCCCCATATACAGGGTTCTCCTGCATTTTCGATTATGACCTTTTTAGGCTGGATTCCATGGCCTAAAGTCACTAAAAGTCAAGCTCTGGTTTGAATTTGGAGATATGAGGCAATAAAGGGAAACCATCAAGTTGAGTGAGATCTCTTTAATTAGCAGAATCGTTAACTGAGAAACTTTTGAGGCTTCAAAATGCCCAGAGTCAGTGTGAAGAGTTTATAGGTGAGTGGTGTGGTGTATTTTACGTGCTTTTCCTGAATCAAAGCTTGGAGGTTTAGAAAGAAGCCACCTTCTGGAATAGGAAATGAGATCGCAAATGGCAGTTCAAAAACTATCTCTTGGGCAGCCTGCTTTGAGAAAAAAATAGATTTAATTACTGATGTGTACAACTGTTTTGGAACAGTTATCCTCAACCCTATAAAACTAAGAAAATATTGAATTAGGCGAATGAGAGAAGTTCACGTTTTTCCCACCACTTTATAGAACAGGCTTTCTGTGTTATTCCCTTTTCCTGGAACATGCTCCTTCCCACACCCCCATGCCCTGGACCTGGCTGGTCTCCATTAGGTCTTTACTTCACAGCTTGGAAGACACCCATACCAGTGCTTTCCCTGACCCCTTCCACCTAGTCTGGGTCTTAGCTGTCTCTGTCCAGAGTTTCTTTCTTATGACATAGCCACACCTCACTGTCATTGGTTGTGTACTTGTTATCACTTCCTGGAGCCCCAACAGTTTGAGGGCTGATCCGTGTCCCCATCACGGTGTATCCCCAGCATGTAGCCCAGGGTCAAGCACGTAATGTCACTAAATACAGACTCGCTGAATGAAAGAATGGATGAACCATAAGATGCCTTGGCATTACTTCTCCAAGAGACTTCTTGCCATAGTACCAGTTGCTTGGCAGGGGATTTAGCTTAATACACACACATACACACACACACACACACACACACACACACCATCTATCTATACATAGGTAGATACACTATCAATGTACGGATAGACAAATAGTGTGTGTCTCTATGCATAGAGTGTGTATATCTATCAATGTACAGATAGATTGTGTGTATATTTATATATAGATAGATTAAGCCAAATACATATATATATATTTTATTTATATATATGGAGAGATTCTAAATTTAATTGCAGAATGAGCTTCAGCAAGACGAGGAGAAACAAAATTTAAAGTACTGAATAAAAGACAGCTTAAATATATCACTCTTTTTTCCTCTGCTGCAAAATTCTGTTGCCCAGGATTCTGTCAGGCAGTATTCTTTCTAAGGGAATCTGGATGCTCTACCTCATCTGGACCCACCTCTAGGTTTTTAGTAGCACATTTTGATCTATACTATTCTTTTTCATATTTTCCATTCATAGAGTGATAGTCATCAAAATATATATACTTTAGTCATCAAAATATATTAAACCCTGAGACTGATGTTGTTAAGAGTAATTTCAGAACATTTGTAATAAGCCCTAGATGAGGCCGGCCGCAGTGGCTTATGCCTGTAATCCCAGCACTTTCAGAGGCTGATTCAGGTGGATCACGAGGTCAAGAGATAGAGACCATCCTGGACCACATGGTGAAACCCTGTCTCTACTAAAAATACAAAAATGAGGTGGATGTGGAGGTGTGCACCTATAGTCCAAGCTACTCGGGAGGCTGAGGCAGGAGAATTACTTGAACCCAGGAGGCGGAGGTTGCAGTAAACTGAGATTGCACCACTGCACTCCAGCCTGGGCGACAGAGTGAGACTTTGTCTCAAAAAAATAAAATAAAAAATAAGTTTTAGATGAAGCAACGGCTTTCCTGATCTTTTGGCCTGGAGCTGTAGAGAGGGAGATGGGTAGAAAAGACACCTCCATTGACCCGACAAGGTTTGTAACATGGAGAGTCAGGTTCGGAGCAAGTGTTTCTGTCCCCCAGAAAAATGAATGGGTTTGCATGAGGGTGACTGACTGAAAGGCATTGATAAGATGGGGCAGATCACGGAGATTAGTTTTTAGGCACTGTTAGGATAGGAGGCTCATCAAAGGCTACACCTCAGACCTTCAGAAGCAGGGGAGCTTCTGCAGCATTCGTGTCGGGCAAGAAAGCTGTGACATTAAAATCGACTCCCCAGTTGCCTCTTGCCAGGAGGATGTGCTAAGCAGACAAACATGCAGATAATTTCACCCAGTGCTGTAAACTTGGCCACTATGAGTGCAACATTTTCCTTCTCTGGGTTGCAGAGAAAAAATGGCTGTCATCCTAATGTTTCATGCTTATTCCATACAGCATTTTCAGATGACCAGGTGAAATCCGTGCTTCCAAATCCTCTGTTGCTCCAAGCAGATCACACGCTACTCACACTAGAGGAGGGCAGACAGTCAAGAGTGACATACTAGGAATTAATATTCGAGAGGCTCATCCCTAGATCCACAGGTGATTTCCTGACACTATGTCTTTACCAGGGAGCTCCTTAAGTTCTGAAATTCCACTTAAGAGCAGCTGGAAGATGGCGTGAGCCTTCAGCCACAGAGCATGCCTGCAGCCTTGGTCGTGGACACAGGCAGGTTGTGTAGCTGGCTCGCCCTCCAGTTTAGCCTGCAGACAGCATCTTCTGCTCTGTCTTCCAAAGCTGCTTTCACCAGTTGGAAATGTACTAAAAAAAAGGTCTTCATCAGGCTGGGCATGGTGGCTCACGCCTGTGATCCCAACACTTTGGGAGGCCAGGGCAGGTGGACCACTTGAGGTCAGGAGTTCAAGACCTCCTGAAATGATGAGAGACCATTGTGAAACCCCATCTTTACTAAAAATACAAAAAAAAAAGGTGTGGTGGTGCACACCTGTAATCCCAGCTACTCGGGAGGATGAGGCAGGAGAATCACTTGAACCTGGGAGGCAGAGGTTGCAGTGAGCTGAGATCACGCCACTGCCCTCCAGCCTGGGTGACAGAGCGAGACTTCGTCTCAAAAAAATAAAAGAAAAAGAAAAAAGCCTTCATCAAAATGAGAGGGGTCAACCT